CAACACAAAGACCTACTCCTTGTGGGTCAAGTTGCATTACCATTGGGCCACCCCCTACCCCACAACCATAGTTTTTATGAAAAATAGTTGAAGTAATATTTTTAAATGTTTATAAAGTAAAATATTATTTTATTATTGCTAGAAAAATCTAAATTTTATGTTGATAATTACCATTTAGTATATTTTTTAATTAACAACTTTTCCATAGGTTAATGGGATTTTCAGCAAATCCATAGACTAACTGGTTTTGCCAACATTCCATCTTTTCTCTCTTAGACATCATATCAAATACAACACTTTAAAGTAAATTAACAATCATTTTATTTTTTCCTTAAGAGTGATTCCAGTGCCTTATTGAAATATTTTAACTACATATAGATAAAAAAAAGCTTGAAAATAGTCAATATACTATTATTTGGCCTTTTCAGAAACAATGCTGCACAAACACACACACACACACACACACACACACACACACACACACACTCGTATAGCTTTCTTGCCATGAAGAAATGGAATTGGATCACAGCACACTTCCAAGTAACACTGTGAAAGAGCTGGAAAGTGCCACCAACATGAAATCTTTTCATTGGTTGGGTAAATAATGACATTAGAAAACAAAGGTTGTTCCTTATCCACTGACATGTCCCAAGGGCCATAAAGCCTTCTTCTACCTTCAGAGGTAACAGAAGTACCAGTGCTTCTTAACATGGGTTAACTATTGGGAGAAAATTTTCAAATCAAAGATAATTTTAAGAAGCTATTTTAATAAATATTTTAATTTGATTAAATGTATGTTCTTTGAAAAGCAGATACTGAGACCCAATCAAGTCGTTTCCTTCATACTTGGTATCTCAGAATGAAGCAGATGGTTATGTATAAATCTCAAACTTCAAATGGATGGAAAAAAGAAGATAAATGACTTCCATCTTTCCATTATATTATGGGAGGAGATATAAAATCAAACAAACCTACATCTGGTTATATATCACTCATTTGGAAGCAAAGGCATCCCTGTAATAAAATTAAAAGGAAATTAACATGAATTAACCTGTACCTGGCATCTGGAATTTAATTGGCATGTATGATAAAATAAGTAATAATCAGGTTTTACGTTTGCATGCCATCAGTCATCTAAGGGCAGTCTCATCTGTACTCAGGTGCTTCAGTCCACCTCTGCATATGTGTGAAATAAAGCAAAATGTGCCAAGCCCATCATGTGGCAGAGGGAGTGCTAGACCTGGTCACTCAAATGATAAATGTTACATTGGTGCCTTTGCAGTTACCAAAGCTGAGGCAGGGGAGAGATCTCCGGAACATAGGACAGAGAATATAGATTTATTCATACCCAATCTTATGCTCATTTCCATTTTATTTGGTTGATTTAAGTTAATTTTTTGTTTGTTTTAAACTTGGGCATGTTGCCAGGAAGGGGAAGAGAGAGAGAGAGAGAGAGAGAGAGAGAGAGAGAGAGGAGAGAGAGAAAGTGAGAAAGCATGTGTCTCCCGAGATAGCTGCATAGCAATCCTCCTCCATTTCAGGCATGCCCCTCTTTCCAGTATGGTTTCTCATGCCGCTGAATTCCAGAGTTGCCATGTGGGATCGAGCACCTTAACTACCACTTCGGGCCTCTCGTTTCCATTTCATACTCAAGCATTTCCTTTTAGGATTCAGAGCTAAGCATAACTTTGTTAGGATGTCTATATAAATATCTTTTGGTTCTATTATAACAAATAATTGGGAACCACTGAAATACTGAATTATCCAGGTGGTATTTCTATTTATTCTTATCCTTATTAATCCCATTAAGTGCTTGGTTCACGAGCTGATCTCTTTTCTCTTTACTGCCTCTTAGTTTCACATTTACATATTCATTCTGTCAGTAAGTTTATAGTAGTTTTTATAAACTCTTGTCTAGCGCATGTAACAGTATGCGTAGAAAGTAGTCACATAAGTACTATGACCTTGCAGTTTATAAAGCAGTTAGAGCTAGTATTGAAGAATTCCAGGGGTCTATAAGATAAAGAGGCTTATTTCAGGACACAAGGGAGAGTGGGTGATTATGGAGCACGGATTTACAGAAGCTGTATGTGAAGAGAGTACTCGGGTTCTTCTAGCTACCCGTAGGCTAAGTTCACCCAGACATGGAAAGTGATCTCCACCTACTGGGACCAGAGGACAGCTTGGAGAAGTCCATAGGCAACAGACATAAATGGATAAAGAAAGAAGTCAGGAATGGTTAAAGCTCGTCTCTAACCTCAAGTAAGGACTCCATCTTTTAGATAGCAGCTTGCCTTTGTTCTAAATATTTCTTCATGACTCAAAACATATAAAGTGCTCAATTGTACCATAGATTGTTGTGAACCAGAGACACATTTTGTTTGTTTGTTTTGTTTTGTTTTGTTTAGAGAGAGATTTTTGCTATAAGGCATGTGCACTCGCCAAAGAAACAGACAGAGGCAGAGAGACAGAAAGTGAGAAATCATCCCCTGGGGGGTTGGCCATACTGCAAAAATCCCTTCTCCTTCATTCTCCTCTTGGGATCTTGGGCACACACGTGCGTTCATCTCATGTGTTTCATGGTGCAGGGTCTGGGACTTGAACTGTAGTCAACTATGTGGGAGTCTAGCAACATAACCATTAGGCCAGCTGCTGGCGTCGACATATTTGTTTTTAAGTTAATAGAAATGGAGATGGTTTATCCATTATATAATTATAGTCTATAATCAAACTTTATTTTTTAAAATTTTTTTAACCAATTATCAAACTTATTCACCACATTATATTTAAGGCAAGAAAACGTCATAGAATACAATAATTACCTGTAATGTTATGACCCTGAAATGCTTTGAAAACTGAGAGATTAATGAACTCAAAACTGTTTCTTGTAAGAATGATTTATACAAATAAAATTTTCATCTTGCAAGCTACATACTGAATATCATAATTCTCATGAAATTGTTACCACTTATTTAAAATTCAAAAGTAATTTTATTCACTCTTAAATGACAAATAAAAGCATTTTCTAATTATATGATGGTGGCATTTTTTACGATAAGAGTATTTGTCAAAACAGTACTTGTAACTACTATAACTATAACCTTGAGGTATCTTTCTGACCACAGAAAACAGGAATAAAAAGAAATGTTAATTCAGTTCAAGTAAATGGTAAGCACTCTTAGCTGTTAACAGGAGTGGTAGAACTTCCTAGTGGAGAAACGCACACATGTTGGAATATTCACTTTACAAGCTAAATAATGTGATTGAATGTATAAAAGAACTTGAAATAGAAAAAATATTCAAAAAAAAAAAAAAAGAACTTCCTAGCGGACTTCCACTACCTCTTTTCAGCCAAGCTGTGAATGATCTCACTAGCCTTGATATATAATCCCTTTGGCCATTTTGCCTGGTCAAAACATTGGAAGCACTATCATAGCATATAAGCATAAAATTGCCAAGTTCAGGTGATCAAATTCCTGGGAAATTTCCAGAAATCAGAGTACTAATTTACTATATTATCTACCACCTCAATCAATACCTAGTTATACGTATATTGTAGCATTTTGTTAATACTATACTTTCATGTCTCATATCACAATTGCAGGCTAATTACTAATAATTCAGAAAGATTTGTGTTATGTTTTATGAAAAGTAAACAATAGCAGGTGTGCTCTAATAAAATTAATTGAGTGTTCAAGGACAATATCAGTTCTTCCTTAATACATGGGGGGGGGTGATGGCTACATCATTAACCTTCAAGTCAGAGATAACTATTTGAATAATCAAAGTCACAAAGGCAGCTCCACAGTATCATAGTATGGCATGACCATGCCCGTAGGGAGTGAGTCTCTCTCTGAGTCTCTTTCTTTCTGACAAGCACATGAGCCCTCTGGGAGTTTTATTTTATTTTTCTTAATATTATAGAACAATTTTAAAACTTCCAACAATGTAGCTAAATATACTATTTTTAAATATTTGTTATTATTATTCATACATTAAATCACTACGCATCATTTAGATTGTGAAGAGACTTTACCCAGCATGATATACGCCTCAGTCCAGTCCAGCTGAGACCACCATGCATGTCCTCATCAACAGATAATAAGCCTTATCTGTGTCCCTCAATACTGATTCGATGGACTTGTAAAATCACAAAATGCTTCAGGAATTATTTGCAATTTATTTTCATATACAAATTTAGAAAGAAGGTAGAAAGTCTTTTTTGCTGTCATTTAGTAAAAAGCTACCCAAATTCAGACAGTTGAAATTTCCTTTTGGGTTTCTTGTGACCCATAAGGATAACCAAAATAATAATGGTGGCAAAAATAGTACATTTGAATTTATCTTCTCAGTTTTCCTAACCAATTCTAACAAGCCAATATTCATAAATATGTGAAAAGGCATAAAAAGGAAAGACACAAGATAAGTAACAATTTGGATGATTCATAAATTGGTATTTAATTGTTGACTTCTTGAGAATTCATTATATACACTATCCCTCAAAAATGAGAAAAATCATAAACAAAAAATGTGGTCCAAAATATCTTGGCAGTAATGTTTGTTATTCTCTGCTCTGAATATTTTAGGCAAATTTTCAATTAAAATGGATTGTAATTAAGTTATTTTGAGCAGAAATGTGCTTTAACCTTTGATTAAATTGATCATTTTTAAGAGCTTAACTATTTCTTAAAGTGACATCAAACTGTGACATTGCCATTTAGGGAGGTTCACATGCTCTTGATGCATTTAAAGATTTGGCTCTCTATTTTTTCCCATTATTCCTGGAAAATATGATTGATTCAGTTTAAAATACATGCAGAATGCTATTGACGTGCTTCCGATTATCCTCGGTTCAGAAAAAAATACTGAAAGGACATTTCTTTTCCTGCAGTCAAAATTATGCAGATGTAGATTTAAAAGGCTACATGCCAGAAGATACCCAGAAAAATATATGTATGCTGCTTTCCCTTTCCTTTCTCAAATAATAGGTGTATACATACCAAACAGCCTTTATCGAAGCAACGAGGTGGCCCAGTGGTTCTGGAATGACTCCGTCCTGTGCCCAAACCATCCTGATTCTGGTGCCCTTTTGCTGAGCAGCTGTTTGGGCTCACCTATCATTTCCAGGCATGCTTGCGTTGTTTCGGTTTCCCAGGGCTTCCTTTGTGGCCTCTAGGTGTCTGAGTCTGCCTAGTCATGCTTCCCAACTCTGTCTTTGCAGGCCTCGCAGCAGATTCATGCACACTGCTGTGTCATGTGATGTCAAGGCAGAGACTCAAACTCGCTTACAGCTATAAGGGTCATTAATTTACTCGATATAGGAATTTCTAAGTTTCTTTGGACTTCCATTCTCATTGACAATGTGTGCGTGTCACTAGTTGCCCTCTGTTGACTCCTTTCTGTTGGAAGCTTTTGGATGGTATCAACAGTGTAAGGAGGATGTTTATGAGTGGGCCCATGTCATGTGAGAATTGTGGAAGCAGCCGTTGGTAGATCGGCAATGGGAGCTTAAATGAACAAGTCTCTGGGAATAGAGTTTCTTGCGAAAGCAAGCAAAAAAACTTATATACACACGTCCATAGGATCTCTCATGAGTAAAAAGAAAAAGGCTACAGCAGTTATGATGGGGCTGCAAGTTCAAACTCACTCTTGTCTTCTGCACTTCTCTGAGTGATTGCAATTTCTTCAGGTGCCTGGGCTTTGGGTAGCTTGGGTTCCCTTTCTCTCTCTCTCTTCTTTCCTTTTGCCTCCAGCCTTCTGTATTCTGAAAGTGTAAAGTGAATCCTATTGCTGACTCCATTTTTGTCACCTGCTAAGGTGACAGGAATTCTTCCAGATTGTAACTTTTCACATGAGATGTTTTAGAGATGTAACATCGAATCCCACCTCTATCATATGCAAATGTTCCAGTGCTGAACATATGGTCAAAAGTAATTAAATACATGCTTTGCCTGAGATTTCAGAGAATTGATATTTTTCCCTAACAGAAAGGATTTTGTGAAACCAGTGATTAAATTAATTAAATACCATACAGTGTGTTTATGAGGTTGATATGTGGCGTTGGCAGAAAAAATAAACACAAAGAGCGATGCTTTGTTGTTCTGAGGTATTCATTGTCCTGGACTGTTATCCGGGAACAGATGGCAGAGGCTGTCAGCTGGGTGAGGAGGCCCCAGCAAGCAGGAAGTAAGAGATGATAAATGATTGGTAATTTCCCATAGAGGAGCAGCTACACAGAAGGCTCTGCTGAAATGAATGGATGCCGGGCTAACGCATCGTTTATGGAAGCCTGTCCAATATTTTATTTTTTTCTCAAAAAAGAGAAAGCACAGAAGTCCTTTGCTCTATGAAATCCTCAGAAAATTGACAATAATTTGTTGCTATAAGAGGCAAAACCCCATTTTTCTTACAAGACGGGCTGCATTTTCTTTCCCTGTCTAAGCGCCTACTATTGAGGAGTAATGATACAGGCCAGCACCATAGCCCAGTGGTTAAGGGAGCCTGAACCTTCATGGTCTATCATAGTTTGAATCTCAGATCCAGGGCTTGAGGACCATGCCAGGTGAGTGTGTGTGCCCAGATTTTTGACTGGACAGAAAAACAGAGGAAAAAGCTTTGCACCATAACTGTGCCCCATCGGGGCAGGGGGGGTTGCATTATTTCTCCTTCTCTCTGTCTCTCTGGTGTGTGCACATACTCTATGGCAAAAAATATATATATATAGTAGTGATATTAGCAGTGATAATAATAATCATGACCATATAATCAGGAGGAAGATGAGCTCCACATGGAGCAATACATGTCCCAGAAGCCTTCACTGAGCACTGTACGAGTAACAGTGGAACCTCCTGCTATCAGAAAAGAGTTGCTCCCACTTGCTACCACTGAAAAGCACAAGCCACCTAAAGGAACATGGCAGCCTCGCTAACGTCTCAGTTTGGTTTAGTATTATTTAAGGCAGTGATATCCCTACTTGACACCCCTACGAGAAGCAATACAGCACTGGCTTTACTGTGTCTTCACTTTTCTTTTTTACCGTGTCTTCGCTTTTAAACATCTCTTTCCAATTTTGTCTTTTTTAATGCTTTCTTAAAAAAATATTTTATTTACCTTTATTTATTTTTACTTATTTATTTTGATTTGACCAGAGAGGGACAGAGAGAGAGATGGAAAGTGAGAAAGTGAGCCGCCAGTCCCAGAACTCTAACCACGGTCAGCCATGTGGGAGTCCATGCCACCTGCCGGCCCCTGGTTTTGCTTTTTTGAGGGCTTATTTCTTTATGCACAGTACAGTACCATGGTCTAACAAGAACTCGCAGTGAGTGAGTAAAAGTGTCCTTTTCCTATCCCTTCCTAAAGAGCTATTTTTTGGTACAATTTTACCTATCTCTCACTGGACAACGATTGATACCTACTGATTTTTCGAGATTATAAACGCTTATCTCCCACAGTCCCTTTACATGAAAACTACAAATTCTTTCATTGGCTATGCTGGGATTATCTTTGCTATGTACGAGATCTTCTGTTACCTGATTTCTTTTTTAATGTTTTTGCTATAGGGCATGTACACTCACCAGAAAGGAGCCAGACAGAGAAAGACAGTGAGAGGGAACGTGAGAAATTACACACATACACACGCCCCTGCTGGGAGGGGGATGGCCACACCACAATCCCTTCTCCTCCATTCTTTCCCTGGGATTCAGGCACACACACACACACACACACACACACACACACACACACGCTTGGAATGATTTTCTAGCCATCAGCTTCAGAGCTCAAATCTTGGTCAGCTATGTGGGAGTCCAGCACCTTAACCACCACACCACCTGCTGGCCCCTGGAGCAGATTTCTAATGTTCACAGCATAATGTAATGATAAATGTTGAAGGTGGTGAATCTGTTTTTAGCTTTAAATTTCTTTATTGTACACTGTGTCCATGCTTTGAAAGGCCATTTTGTTCCTTACAAAGATGTATAATGATTACATGTGAATCATAAATTATGATAGCTATTTAAAAAGAAAAAAAATACCTCTCCAAACTTTTGTGTGCCTTTGATATATCGACCACTGCTTCTTTGAAGCCTAATTTATGATGTTAAACTGAAGATATGAATTTATGATTAAATGCAGATAAATGAGAGTTGCACACCCAAGATTTATAAGAAAGCTCATTTTCTTAAATAATTATGTATTAAAATACTTTCTACTCTGTAAGTATGTTGTGTAGAAGTTGTAACTAGACTATTTGACATTCCACACTACAATTCCTTTTAAACCTCATAAATAACTCTGGTTTATTTCCAATTTTCAGACACGTGTGAAACATATTAATCTTGAATTCAAGAGGGAGTCTTGGACTGACTTCTTTACCTGTAAATGTCATTCATTCAAGAAAATAGTTTTATTCCTTTTAGGAGCAGAAAGGATTATTGAAGAGTCTGTACGTTATAGGACATTTAAAAAACAAAAAGCTTTCTGTGAATTAAAACTATACAGGGGCCAGCAGGTGACATAATGGTTACAATGCTGTACTTACACATGGCCTACCATGGTTCAAGCCCTGGACTCGGTGGCTTGACAAATCATGCCAGGCACATATGTGTGCATTCCCAAAACCATAGGGAGAGAATGGAGAAGAAGGGACTGAGGTGTAGCCGTCTTCCCCGGGGGCGGGGGTAAGTTGTCACTTTCCCTCTCACTATCACTCTCCCTGTTTAGTTCTGGTGAGTACACACGCCCCATGACAAAAATATTTAAAACATAAAAAATGGAAAACTATATATTCTCTATGTTCGTGTACCAGAGACCTTTCAGAATGTAACCTCTGGTCCTGTATGGTAACTAGCATCGCTGTACTCTTTTTCAAGGCAGATGAAGGGAAACCCATCTGCTTACTTGGTACGAGTGTGCACAGGAGGCAAATCAGGGAGCAGGTGGCAGGAAGGTTAGAGCGTATCTTAGTGCACACTGACCACCATGTAGGCTCTGCTTATCACATATATGTGAATATGTCTTACTGAACAAACTCTGGTTTTTTTTGTTTGTTTGTTTCCGTCTCCATAGAAAGACTCAGTATTTCAGTAAAAGAGACAGAAAAAAGGGGGGAAGAAATCATCATGAAATCATTGAAGAATGTTACTTCCACGATGAAAATAGTGCCACTTCTAGATGTAGTACTGAACATTTCAAGCCATTTATGATGGAAGGATGGTTCTAAGAGCTTTCAGAGACGGGGAGAGTGACATGCAAAAATCATGGGTCAGAAGGGCTCTAGATTTCTCAGCAGTGAGGCCAAAGTCAGCACACAGGGCATGGCATTGGAGACCACGTCCAAGTCACAGAGGGAGGTTTCAGTCAGCATGGGTTACATGTGAGCTTGTTTTTTGTTTGTTTGTTTGTTTGTTTTTGAATAGGGGAGAAAAATCATGGAAATATTGTTCTTAGAATTTTTGGCTCAAATCTGAACATCTTCCACTTGGTATATATATATATGCATCTGCCTACATGTAAAAACAATTACGTATGGAATTTTAAATTTACTTT